GACGTACAAAAACATAAGGACACAATCAGTCACGGCGCACATCAAATTTTTTTGTCTATGCTACTAGTAGCTTACTCACCTTGGCAGTAACCAATATCCTTATCTACCCATGAATAAACAGCCAATATATCCCAAAGCCTTGCTTGATTTTCTTGGTCCTCATAGTAAATAAGTACACGGTCAGTACGAAGTACGTCCAAACCTGTTAATATAACATACAGTAGTCAATTCTTAGAAAAAACGAACATTTAAACTTTTATTAGTTACAGATTTCTGAATGTTGTCTGTAGTGCTAATATTGATATACGCCTAGATCTAGTAGTCTGATGAAATGGTACACTATTTCAAAGTAAATTCACACAAACATGAGGTGTTAACTAATAAATATACAAGGACAAGGCAAACCATGCGATGGTGATAGTTGAAAGAATAATCAACTAACTGCCATCATTATACAGGTTTTATAATACACTGGTTCAGCAATGGTCAAAAGAGACTGTTAACATTTTGTAAAGCCGTGACCAATTTCCAGAAAGCTACAGCAGAAAGATGAGCATGCAAACTATAAGTCTATAACATTCTTCTGTTGCTTTGTCGTGATAAGATAAAAAGATGAACAAATAGCTCTTCCACAAAGCGGCATATCATGATGCATGAGCCAAAATATGAGTGGAAAATAAAGTTCGTAGATAAGAAAACAGCATGTGAGTAAAGCATATGAAGATGATCAATAGATCAAATGCAACCAGCATTGATACTCGACGCAGCCAGAAAGAAGATTACAAAAATGTAATATTAAAAGCTCCTGAAGGACAAAAAATGAATTCCAAGATACTCAGAGCACTAGGAGAAAAAATTATAGATACTTTAAGATTTGAAGGACAATATATAGGCTCAAGAAGGTATCTTTATCGGGTTTTACCGATCTGCTGCAAGGTAAGCTTCCACTGGATGACTTCTTTGTCCTTGATTACATTATCGTTTCTGTATCCATCAGGTTGCACATTTTCTTTTGAAGAAATACCATCAGGATTGTCAATCGGGTGACCGTCTTCTGTTATCATTGCTGCAGTAATTAGTCTTCCACTACCAACTGTAGGCTCCATTTCCTTGCATTTTGACTTCAATGTGTTATACTCTAATCTGCCACAAAAAGCTGATATTAAACTTATACAAAGGATCGCCAGTATATTGCAGTTGCAAAGGTAACTATAACTAATCATACCTCACTGACGAGTTCTAACCCATTATCAAAATAAATAAATTTGTGAAGGAAAAGAAGACACATGTAGAGGAAAAAAAATACAACGAGAAGTGTATGTTAATGAGAATCAGTAACATTTGATATAGGATAATTACTTAGAAATATATTACTACCTTCTTTGTTGCCTCAACTGAGTACGTTCATCAAAAGTACTGTCAGGATCATAGCACCCAAGTAGAAATTCCCACACCACTCCCTTAATTGTTGGATGTACACCCTGTCATAATTATATAATTGGGAACGGGTCATGAGAATTTTCCTAAGCATAAAATTCTTTCCAGCCACATAAGCATTTTAGCAGTAGCAAAATGAATATCAATATTTCTCCCAAAATAAAATGACACCAGCATGAACTTACTTCAGTAATCATAAGACATATAATGTAGGCACATAAAAACTAGTATCATTATCAAGCTCTTTAAGTTTTCTACAGGTTTGCAGTTTAAATGATGGTATGGTATTCCAGGTTCACAGTATTGGATTTTGTCCCCAATCAAGAAGATTGCAGTCTTTCTTTTTCTCAGAATTACATGTGTCTCAAGCATAAGTAGGTTGGCTGCACATAGGAAATTTCCGGAAGTGAAGCTGGCAATTCAATTTGTATGCAGTTTTGTGAGATGGAACACCATCACACAAGAATTCAGTAACATCCAGTTCACCCATTTCTAACTTCCAACCTTCTTAGGAGCTAGGTTTGCAAAGTGGGCTGTAACACAATAATATGAAAAATAAAATTTAACTCCTCGTGTTGCTTATTGTGATGAAGATTGTCCTTTCAAAACATATCATGCAGCTTAAACATAAGAGTGAAAAAAATATTTTTTTTAATAAAACACAGCAAAGTGGGTGAGGGGACATGCACCCATAGGTTACCAGTGATCATCAATCAGAAAGGTAACAAAGGAACCAACAGAGTTGAAATATTTTATAGAGTTGTAATATTTTACGGCTTAGGATGACCAGTAAAGAGGCCAAAGCACATGAGATGGGCACAGCACACATGAACTTCAAGCATGTGCATGTATGACAAATGGAAGGGGATAACTAGGGCTGAGCATGGTTTGGTCCAAACCGAAAAAACCGACCGAACCAACCCGAACCGACCCAAAAAAATCGGTTTTATGAGTAGGTCGGTTCGGGTCGGGTTGAAAACTTTTCAACCCGAACCACCGAATACCCAATAGTGCAATACCCGAATCTCAAACCAGACCCACTACCCGAAAGACTCAGTCACTCAAACCCTAAACTCATTTCCATTTTCCCTTTCCCAGCCGTCGCTCCTCATTTCCTCTCTCTCACGACTCACTCTCTCTCACTCGGTCGCTCCGCCATGCTCCGCACTCCGCAGTGTCCGCACGGGCAGTCTTCATGGCCGAGGCCATAACATCTCAGGCTCAGGATCTATCTCCGGCTTTGGGGGGACACTCACACCCGTCGCCGTCGTCGAGGCCGAGCCCGAGGTATAAACTAAAAATCATTTCTTTGATGCCATCACCTTGGAGATCTGATGCTCTCTCGGTGGTCTCACATCGTAACTCCCTCTCTCAACTCTCTCGATTTCTATCTTAGGGTTAGGCAAATATTGATCTCGTTTTTCTTGCGCTTGATTAGTGAATTTGGTACTTCGGTGAACTTTTAGGGTTTTTGTGCATCATATTTGTTTGTAGGTTAGTTCTAGTTAAGCCCATGTTAGTTCTAGTGGCTCTCGTGTTAGTTCTAGCTGATGTCATGTTAGTTCTAACTTTCAGCTACTGTTATTTCTAATATAAGCGTTAGTTCTAGTAGTATGTTAGTTCTAGTTGAGCCCCTATTAGTTCTGATGGCTCTCGTGTTAGTTCTAGCTGATGTCATGTTAATTCTAACTTCCAGCTAGTGTTATTTTTAATATAAACATTAGTTCTAGTGGTATGTTAGTTCTAGTTAAGTCCATGTTAGTTCTAGTGGCTCTCGTGTTAGTTCTAACTTCTAGCTTTTTTTGAATATCGCAGGATGACGATGAGGATGACGACTAAAGCTGGAAAAGCGGTGAAGAGAATTTACGGGGAATTTTTGACATACTCCCTTCTTTGGCCCTCTCTGGTTATCGTAGGAAATAGAGGAGTAGGCTCATAGGAATGAAACTTTTGAACTCAAATTTTGTGCTTGAGAAATGCTTACGTTTTGTTTGGATTGATGTGAGTTCATTCCTTGTAACTATTAGGACCCGAATCATTATGGGCTGAAAACAATATCAGTGTTTAATGCTTTATAATCCCCTACTTTGTTGATATCTTTTTTTTCTTTAACACATTATGTTGTTTGCTAACAAGTTTGATGAAGTTGGAACCGAACAAGCCGCACCGAACCGACTTGCAAATATCAGTTCGGTTTTGAATTATAGACGGACGGGTTCGGTTGTTCAAAATTTGGTAAAAACCGAGCCGACCGACCGTTTGCACACCCCTAGGGAAAACAACTTAATAAGCATGCCACTTGCACCAAATTCCAACTAAAAAGTTCGTTATCTGCAGAAATAAGTTCAAGAAGACTTAATGAAGGAAAAACACAGGATTTAATTTTGAGTACTAGGAAAGATGAGAAGATGAAGATGTCATCGATGAAAATAGTAAGTTGTTGAAAGATGTAAACAAAAGGGACTACAAGAAATAGCCAAAGCATGAAATTATGTATTTGGATATGAATTAGTTGGTGTTATCCTATAAGGCAGTGCGAAGTACAAGGTTGAAAAACTTGTTTGGAGCACAAAGAGATACTTTTATTTCTTGCTCCAAGATTGAAAAACTTGTTTGAAGCATAAAGAGATAGCTCCATTCCATGCTAAGTTTCTATTTAGCATCCTGTGAAATTATATCACCGTTTACGGAAAAGCATGAAGTTGATCAAGTTGCTTGTAAAGCACATTTACATGTAAGAGTTTTCTATATAACTTGCCACACATGCACAATTACAATAAATCATAAAGCGGATCTAACTTGAGCATTGTTTTAAATATCCCTGGCATAGCCAATATATTGACCGATAGGTTGTCACAAAACGATACGGTCTCAATATCCTTTACCGCTTTTTAAAAATATTTGGGTGATATATCCCAACATGGTGGATATGTATCTTGCTCGATAAGCTTGCCGCAAAACAATATAGTCTGCAAATTTCCTTAAATGTTTTTCCGCAAATATCCCATCCTTATTAAGATTTTCTTAGCAAATTCTAGTAGGCCCTTTTCCCTAAGTAAGTTTCTATAATTGATTTCTGATTTTAAACATATATTATTTACATTTTTGTATATTTAGATTTCATTAAATATGTTTAGAGTATATTTTCGAACATTATATTATATGTGCATATCATCCGATATTGCACACCGATATTTACTACATATCCCAAAATTTCCCCGACATCCACAATCGAATATGGAATTTGGTTCTCTGATATTTAAAAACCTTGAACTTGAGGCAGAATTGTCACTGTAACATTATTTTCCTTATTGAACAACTCATAATGCTATAAATCTCATAAAACCTATATTCCCTGGGGAAAAAAACCCATGTAAAAGATCAGCAAAAGAGACAGAATTACTGTACTCCTTTCTCACACAAACTATAAAGATCATAGGTTATCAACGTAATGATTAATGATGCTTGAAATGTCAAATATTTAAAATAGATAAAACTAAAATCGGTAGAGTTCTAATCATTCAGTTTGCAGGTTTCTTACCCCTCGCTGTACCCGTCTAATCACTTTGGCTATATCCAAATGGCCATCCTCAGAGAATGAAGCATGCAATCTTTTTGCGCTTAGAGTTCTCCCAATCTGAAGAAAGAAAATGTCAAGTTTATCTTGCCAGAGATATCTATAAACTAAAATTACTATATATTTTTCTGCACTCAGGAGCAGTGAGTGGTATTTTAGCTAACTCATTAAGATGTTTACTGCATAAGAGAGCCAATGCTGGAGTTTTCCTGTAATCGCTTGAGTCATGAATATAAATTGCAGCCAACTCAGAACAGAGACAAACTGATGCATCAAAATGCAAAGTTTACAGGACCTCCAAACTCAGGGCTGATCACAAGTGGACACGCTGATCAGTTTTTTTTCATCCTCAATGCTTTCTTTCATAAACATAGTTGTCAATATCAAATGATAGAGTCATGCATGCTCCCTGGATTCAATATGCATGGAAGTTGAAATGTATCTTATCTGCATAGTTATTAGATTAATGTATACTACAGTCCATATTACAATATATTATATGTTTATATTTCATGATTAATTGAATTTTATGTTTAATTACAGCTTATAAGTTTAAAAAAGTGCTTACTCTTTTAACAAAAGAGATATCCAAGCCAAATTACCTATTTAGTTTGATCATGACCAGATGTTCAAGAAAGAAAGTAGTTGAGAGGGGTCCCTGATGAAAGCAATGCTATGCATATGAGACCACCATTCTGGTCGAAGACTAAACACAGGATATGCTTCAATTCTATCCTTGTCATGTGGGAAAGAAAAAAAAAAGTAGCTGAGAGGGTTTCATGGGGAGCGAAGAAGAAGAGAAGAAAATGATAATATCATTCTTAAAGTGATAATAGTGATGGTCTATTGGAGGTGATCAACTGATGTTCAAGTTCTTTTTGTTGTTTTTGGGAGGGGTCATGAACTTGGTTTTTGATGTTATCATTCATAAGACTAATACATTTATCTTTAATAGGGGAAAAATATATGTTGTGACTTGGACTTGCGTTAATTACATAGTGTTGTAGAGTCTTTTACAGCTTTTCCTTTGTTACCCATCATTCTGTCTTATTTATCCATATCTTTCTGAACTACATTATTGTAAATGTAGTTAGTTAACTATCAAGCATAACTTATATAAACAAACATAATGTCGATGAATGTGATTCCTATGTTACATTTATAACCAGTAGTGTGTTAAAGAGCTTCCTTTTGTACTTTGATGCTACTAGTAATCCAACACTAACATGAAGATGTGTTTAGCCCTGAATTCGTATCTATGCTTAGAGTTACACTGAATCAACAACTCAAATCAATCAAGTTAGGGTTCACTGTTCATCTACAAAAACTGAGGCGAAAAGATATATTAAAACTCATAAATAAAATAAATAAATAAATAACTTGACGAATTCAAGGGAACTAACCCTGGGCTTGAAATGGGTCTTGGGGACATCGTGTCTGCACTCTGGCCGAATTAGATAGTAGGAATCGGGATCCCAAGCCTCTTGTTCTCTCGTGCAGCAATCCATTTCTGAGATCAATTTCATTTTTTTTGCAAAACTAAAAAAAGAGAAAAATCTGTGTAAGAAAATCGAAAGAGATTATAATCCTTGCGCTTGAAAAACACGGAGGGGGCGATTTCGATCGATTCGAAAAATGCGAGGAATCGATTGGACAGATAGAGAGGAATTTAGGGATAGGGTTTAGTTTAGGGGGGTGTTTGGTTACATTTCCTATAATTTAAATTATAAGAAATGTTTTTCATCCAAAATTTGATTTCCTTGTATTTCTTAAAAAAATTATATGAAAAGTTTTAAGAAGTTAGAAAGTACAAATTTTCTTATTTTTTGTATTGTACTTGTTTGGTTCAAAACAAGAAAATGACTTATAACTTTTGGGAAAATAGCAACATTTCCTATAATTTATAGAAATGTAATCAAACACCACCAACTTTATAGAAAAGTGAGAACTTTATAGAAAAATGTTAATGAGTTTTATTATTTAAATAATGAATGCGTCAGATTTCCAAGAGATTTCCGCTCATTTTAGAAGGAAATCAATTTCTATAAATTTTGGTACTTTTCTATACTTTACAGAAAACATTTCTGTAAATCTTTTTTTAGCCAAACACAGTTTATGGAAATCTATAGAAAACTCTTAATTACAGAAATGTCATTGTTTGTACTTTTTGAGAAAACATTTCTTAAAAACAATGCAACCAAACACCCCCTAGAATTCGGGCCAAGAAAAAGGACGTAGATTTGTTTTAAAAATTAATTTAAAATTCATAAATATATTACTGTGCTAGTGTTTTAATCACTCACATCCCAATAGATTTTTAAAAATTTATTAACTCACCTTCCCCTTTTGAAGCACAGTAGCCCTCTTGATTGGTATTAGAAAATATGTCCATGTTTAGAAATCATGATAATGAACAAATTATATAATGTCATAATTAAAATTAACATCAACTAAACTATTTTTTTTTCATATGAAATGAATAAACCGAAGAAAATAAAAATGTATCTAAAGAAAGTAGATTTAATTTTTTTAAATCAGTTTTGTGAAAAATTACAAAAAAATCATTCTGAAAAAATATTAAAATTTGATGTAAAATTTGAAATTACATCAACTAAATCGATCTTGAAATGCTTCAACTTGAAAAAAAAAAGTTAATGAATTTTTTATTACCTTAAAAAAGAGAATGATCTAAAAGCATCAAGAATGTTTTTATAAATACGAAAAAGAGATGTTATTATAGTAAAAGTTACATTTACCTCTATAATGCAAGATCAATTTAAAACAACATGTAATTTCAATTCATCAATTTAATTGGGAAAATATTTATAAATGATTAAAATTTGCCTTTTTGATGTAAAATCCAAAATTGCATCGTAAACAAAATAATACTAAATATAAAATATTATCAAATTTTAACTTAATTTATATAAAGATATGACCAAAAAATACATTACTCAAAAGCATTGAATCAAGTTAGTATATGTTGATGATTTGAGATCTAATCAAATCATACCAACCTTAAATTTTATTTATATATAAATTAATATTTTTAATTATTCTAATTATTTGTTAATATAAAATTGCTTTAGTAAAAATTAGATTATATACAAATTAAAGCATTTGGTTAATATAAAATAAATTTAATATATAATATTGCTAATTTTAAATGTTTGGTTTTGTGTAAATAATTTATATATAAAACTTAACCAGCATTTATTTTATATACTCATTGACCAACTATTATGTTAATATGCCCAAAATTCCATTCCTATGTTTTTTCAAACTAAATAGCTTATTTTCATTCCTAGCATATTTTTTATTATATGGTTTACAAATTTTAAATTTATTAATAAAAATATAGTTATTATAACAAATGATAAAACCACTATAATTCCCAATATTAGGACTCTATTAAGAGAAACATTTTAAAATTTAGTAAAATTAAGCTCTTAAACATATGGACCATGTTGCCAAATAATAAATAAGAGACTCTATATTATAAATTATTTTGAAAATTCATGATATTTAGGGAATATAATAAATATTTAAATTAATATTAAATAATATCATATTAATCATTACTTTCAATAAAGTCTAAGATTAACCATGTAATATGTTTAATTGAGTATTTTATTTTAATTTTAGAAAAAATGTGTATAAAAAGTATAATTTAATGAGCTAAAACATTTTTTTTAATTATTTAAAAATACATGTCATTCAATGCAAAAGAAATAAATGAGATTTAAAATTCCTATTAAAATAGAATAAATAGGATAAAATTTTGTTTTAATTAATATTATTGACAATTTATAATAAGTTATGAATAGATATCAAATCAAGTTATAAATTATTAGCCAGCAAAATTAATGAGTTATAGAAATACATCCGTAAAGTTTAGAAAAATTTTAATTGATTCTTAGACCTCTCATAGAGAACTCATCTATCTCCTTGAAGAATAGATGACAACTAAAAGTTTGTTTTTATATATATATATATTATATATATTATATATATATATATATATATATATTATATATATATATATATATATATATATATATATATATATATATATATATATATATATTATATATATATATATATATACATTACATACAATATTTTTTTAAAGATATTATTCAACCAAAAAATATAAGATTAAGAAAAAATTAACAAATGGAATTGTATTATTGATTTGTTAAAAAAATTAGAGATTTTATAACATATAATTATTTAAGTTATAACAAAACAATAATTAATATATAGTATTTTTAAAATATTTAAGATCATAGTTAACATTTTTTTTAGATTATATATGTGTGTGTATATTGATGCGGCATAAACATGTACCAAAAAGGTTGCAAGTGCACAACCGTGTCAAGTTATAGTATTTAAGATATCGATCCCACGAGGAAGGTGTTTCGTAGAAGAAAATATAAAATTGGTTCTTATTTTGTGTGCGTGACAAATAGGAGTGATGAGTAAATGTGATTGTGAAGAGATTGAGAGAGTGAAAGTGGTGTGAAACGGCGCAAAATTTAAGTGAGAGTGGATGTGACAAAGAATGAGTGTGATCAATAAGGCAAGAAGGAAAAAATGAATAAAATCAAGAAACAAATGAAAAATCAAGAATGAAGAACAAAATTCTAAAATAAAAGAAAATACAAGAAATTAAAGATGGTGGATTCAATTATAGATATGGGTAATCTAAAATTGAACCCACTTCATAGAAAAGGGTGATTCGCTAGAGGGTTCTAGCCTAAAGGTGAATCAAACAAAATAAAAATAAACAAAAAGAAAAACTAAACCCAAGAGGGTTCTAGCCTTAAGGTGAATAGTGTAAGAAATTAAAATCTAACTATAAAATAAATTACAAAGTCTAAACTACAAAATAAAATTGTAAGAATTAAATACAATAAATCTATTCTATAAGCATGAAATAAATCTAAGGCAAGAGGGTTCTAGCCTCTTGGCTATTTAACAAGAAAATAAAATCTAAACTATAAGCATAGTAATAAATCTAAACTAATAAGCAATAAAAGAGAAAAAGAAAAGAAATGCAAACATTCAAATAATTCTTCATCTTCATCATCCAACAAAGAGAAGATGAGAAAAATTTAAAGTGGTAAAAAAATTATTATTATTAATTGCAACAAAAAGTTATAATTTTGGAAGGCCTTCTCAATTAAGAGTAGCCCTCCTCTCCAAAAGGAGTTACAAAAATTTTCACACATTAACCCCTCACTCTCTACCCCTATTTATAGTAATCTTCAATGAATATGAGCCATTGGATTTGTCTTGAGCCCCAAGCAACAATCTTCACCTTTGAATTTGCTTTTTGTTATTCTCTAGCCCAACATTCATTTGATTTTCCAAGGCCCAATCTTCATTTGATGAACATTGCAAGTCCGGTTTTGATTGCAGCAACTAAGTTCACATTTCATTTGATTTTCTTGTGAAAATCCAAGCAAGTCCAGCCCATTATAGCTTCATTTGTTTTTGGCCCATGTAATGAAAGTTCATTTGATTCAAAATTGCAGCAACTTCATTCCTATGCATGTTAAAAGCTAATTCTGCAGCCGGTCCATGAAGTTCTGTAGCAAACAAAATAAGTCTGGCCCAAATGAACTTCTCATTTGACTTTCAAAATAGAAATTGAAGAGGTGCAACAAAATCCGGCCCATTGATGAAGTTTGCACAAGTCCGGCCCACTCATTTTTGGCTTCAAGCTTCAAATCCAACTAAAACCGGCCCAAGCCTTGTCTCCAAAAAAAAAATTGCAGCAGGTCCATCCATATTCATGCTTCATTTGATTTTCAAAATGAAATTGAATGGCTGACGCAAAGTTTTGGAAGTGCGGCCCATCTTTTTGGAAGTCCGGCCCATCTTCTATCTGCCTCAGTCCGTACATGATTGGAGAAATTTTTTTTTGCAACCAAGTCCTTTTTATTCCCATTCTTTGCATCCAAGTCCAAACATAGCTTCCTTGATGTATTTTTTATGGGCTTTGCTCTTTGGGCTTCAATCATTTTCCTCTTTTAAGCTTTTGCTTCATGGGCTTCTAAAATGCTACAAAATAGAGAAGAGAGATTTTTAAGGGGTTTTTATGTTTAATAATATTTATTTATATTTTTATTCATTTATGTGCAAACTAAGCTAACAATAATTATTAATGGTATATTTATTCATGTAAAATAGATAATGAGGGTATAAAATTGTAATAAAAATATGATTATCATATATATAGAGATAGATACATACATACATACATACATACATACACAAATACATACATACATGTGTGTGTGTGTGTACATATATGTATGTATGTATATAAGGTATCGCGTAGATTTAAAGTAAGGATATTCAACATTTTTTAAGATATTATTCACCTATAAATTTGATATTTTATAACATATATAATATAAAACATAACATGTTATACAAGCAAAATTTAAAAATGATAATACTAAACTTTATATAATTTGATTTATCTATTATTTTTAGAGATTTTATAACATATAATTATTTAAATTACAACAAAGTAATAATTAATATATAATAATTTTTGAAATATTTAAGAATATATTTTAACATTTATTTTAAAATTTATAACATATATAAAAGATATCTTGTAGATTTAAAATTTGTTTATAGATGTTTCACATTTATCTAAATTTTCAATACCTTATAGATAGATGTGA